AGGCTTATTTTCTATGACCTTGTCTAACCAAATCAATTTTATATCAGTACGCCTTGCTTTTAAAAAATGAACAAACAAATTTTTTAGGTTTATTATCATAAACCTAAAAAATTAGAAATTCCAGAGAGATGTTATAAAAATAAAAAATAATATAAAGTCAAAAATGAAGAAAATAAACTTTTAAATCGCATTGTTACAATGTTTTATCTTCACGTGTGAAATCTACATCACTATCTCTACTATCCCTTTATAAAAATGCCTGTTTTTCGATGCTTTTTCTTTATAAAAATGCGTTGTTATTATGTTAAAGAAAACTAAACTTATAATACTAACTTCTTCAGATCACAAAAAGTTTACTGTGTGAAGTAATATTATTTGCATAATGGAAAAAAAAAATTATACTGCTACAAAATCTACTAAAAACAGTATTTTACTAAAATTGTTATATAAATAATAACAAGAAATGTGTTCAAGCAAAGAAAACAATTTTCTATCCTTTCAACTTATTTACAATGATATTCAGCAACATATACAAAGAAATTTAACTGAAATAAATATTACCATTGAGAAAATATACAAAACTGATCCTATTAAATATATAGATTATAATAAAATTTAGAAAAATTCAGACTGATGGCTAAACAAAGTAACTTAAGTCGAAATTCTTGTTGTGCGTGTTCTGGAAAAAATTTAAAAGCTCAATATCCACACCTGTTTTCACTATCTTAAATTAAATAATATAGGTATGTAAATATTGCTGAAAAAATACAACTTCCATGTGCTGAAATACCATTATGCATCAAATACCATAATACTCAGTTTGTGCATTATTATAGTGAGGAAACTCAAGAGTGCTGAAATTAAAATTTGCAGGTTGAAATTGCGTTGAACTTTTTGAAATTGTGCACAGTCTATAGTCATTTAAGTTGAATGATGTCCATTCTTGACAAATATTTTGCGAATTCTTTTTCGATAAATAAGATAATCTGGTTGAAATACAACATTGTCAAACAATGGCACAAAATACTATCAATGCAACAAAAAATATTAATCGAGCATTTGGAAACTGGTAAAACATGGGCTATAACAACCAATGCCTGACTACAACTTATTAAAAATAAAATAATTTAGTTATTTTATCTATAGCTCAATTACCAGTGCCTTTACAATCTTAATATACAATAGTAAATATGGATTAGTAATATCAAATATAACATTGCAGTTAGATAAAAGGTATTTTGATTATAACGAATTATTTTTGATTAATGTATTAGGTTTTAATAACTTTGTTGATAAAGATTTACTTTTCACTTTTAATAATAATTGATTGTTAAATTTTGGAAGAACTTTTAGTTTAATATACAGACTCTTATTTATTTTTCTAGTATTTTTCTGCATTACCTTTTTCTTGTCTAGTTTTATGGTTTATTTTTTTATAATGAAGAAAATAACAAAAATAAAATATTTTGTCATTATTTAGTCTATTAAATTAGGATAACATGTTTTGAAATTATTCTTTAAGAAACCTTTGAGATGATAGGAAATAGGAGGAGTTTCTTGAAGATTTGGGTTGTTAGCGATTGAACTAAAACAAAGTATTATTCAATAATACTTTATTTAAGTCCCATCTCCTTTTTTTTGTACCAACGTTATCGTAACATACATATGTAGTATAAAACCACTTTATATTGTTAATATCTTTGTAGTAATAGTTATTTCAACAAAAAACACCCAAATTTTGACTATCAAAGTCATTTACAAAATCTAAAACAACGAAAACTCTTTTATAATTAACTTAACATATAATATACATTATACTAATCATTACGAGTTCAAAAAAAATACATCAACAGAACACGCGATACTCCATATAACTCGTAGTATTTCTGAATCGTTTGAAAATTCCTAATTTACGTTGGGAGTTTTCATAGATTTATCAAAAGCTTTTGACCGAATTCTCCTTAAAAAAGTTAAATATTATGGAATTAAAGGAAATGTTTTAAAGTTACTTCAAAGTTACTTAAGTAACTGCAAACAGTTTGTTTATAGTTTATAGTTTGTTATATTTGTTATATTAATGATCTTCATAAAGCTTCTAATTTGATGTCAGTCATGTTTGCCGATGACACTAACCTCTTTTTGTCTGATAATAGCATAACTACATTATTTCGAGATATGAATATGGAATAAATATTTGATTGGTTTAAAATGAATAAATTTTCACTAAATGTTGAAAAAACAAAATAGACTCTTTTTCATCCAGCTTCTGAAAAAAATCTACTTCCTTGTGAACTACCTTTACTTTTTATTGATAAAATCCAAATAAAAAGAGTATTTAGTGCTAATTTTTTGGGTATCTATGTTGATGAAAACTTTAGTTGGAAATACCACATTGAATTCTTGTGTAATAAAATTGCTAAAAGTATAGGAATATTGTATAAATCTAGAGGTGTGTTAAATAAACGTAGTCTAATTCAATTATATTTCTCTTTTATCCATGTATAGATGTAAAATTAACTCTTCCCCAGTTTCTTTCCATAATTTATACACGTTGAAATATTAAAATAAATACAATTTAAGAAATGATAATTTAATTCGTCAACCATTTTTTCAGACTAATTTTGGAAAATCTAGTATTTTTTTTCGAGAAGCTTTTCTTTGGAAGAAAATAGTTTTAAAACATTTTAATTTTTCTCTGCAATGGAGTTATTTTTCATTCAGATATAAGCTTAAAGAAATCATTTTGTCTCATGATGATATATTGTTATATTTTTTAACGTTATTAATTTGACGTATTGTTTTAGTTTATTCAGTTAAATATTTATAAGAACATGCACTTAAATGTGATTAACTATATATGCACTTGACTTTATATATATATTGAATTTTATGAAGTTTTAATTTATGAGCGATTTATTTTACGAGGTCTTTTTTTTATGGTGAAAAGACCTAATGGTCTTCTGCGAGTCTCCGCGTTCTTTTTATATTAACAAAAAAAGTCTTAGTTTTATCTTTTATTTATTTTTTATTGAGTAAATTTTTAAACAATCCAATTGTAAATTTTTCTTAACGATCTAATAGTAAATTTTTCCTAACGATTTAATTGTAAATTAATTAATTTTTCTTAGAGCAAAAATATTTATAAGAACAACAACAAAAAAACAAAGATGCCATTTCGTTCATTAATCCCCTAAGAAAAAGTCATACATTAAAACCGCACGCTGTGAAAGTCCGTAATTGCTTATCTTTAAAAATATCTAGGGGGGCTGGATATTAGTAAAGTAAACTTTTAGGTTGAAGTCGTGTGAAGGAAAAGTGAAGCAAATAAATGTCGCAACAATATTTATTTCAAAATTTTTTAAATAAAATAATAAAAAGTACTAAACTACTTAAGGTAGTTTGAACCAATTGATTTTAATCCGACACTTTGTCAAATTGCTTTAACTGTTACATTATTTGATATTAGTGTTTAAAATAAAAACTTACACAACTTTATTTAGTTTTAACTTTATTGTTGCACCTTTTAAGCATACTGCATTAGAGTATATATGCTAAAATATTTTTGGCTATGAAAATAAGCTTAATTCTAAAATGTCTCGTATTTATTCAGTGGAGTTTAAAGACTATTTCTTCATTTCTTAAATGAATAAGTTGGTTCTTTTTATCTTAGATAAAGATCTCAGATTTTTATATTAGATTACCAAAGACCACTTCGATTTTTAAAGTTAAATTTTTCATTTGCACTACGATTAAACCCTACCAAAAATTTTTTATTATTTCTAAAAATTTTTCACCCAACAAAATAAATCTCTTGACCAAATCCACTTTTCCAACTTTTTCCATATTTATATTTTAATAAAAAGTATTAGATGCGTTTTCATCCAAATAATTAACTAATTTTTTTTCTTTTCCTGTTTTCTAAATTTAACTAGATTATATCCTACAAGAAAGAGAAAAATTCTTTTTCAACTAGCAACTTTATAAAATATTGGATAAAAAACTTCAACGTCACAGTTTTCCATAAATTCCTTAATGATAGCTTTGCATCATCTTCTGAGATTATGTACTTTGAAAGCTCATCTCTGATATGCGAAACACAGCATAAATAGTCATAAAAATAAGATCGTTTTTTTTTTGTTTTTGTTTGGGCATGATAAATAAACTACTTCCAACATAAATTCAAAATTTTAACTTTTATTTTTTAAAAACAATAGAATTTCGTAAAAACAGCATAACTGACCAGATTATCTTTTATTATGACATATTTACAAAACTTGACTAAATTTATCTTTATTTAAATTTATCATTATTACCAAAGAGATTATAATTAAATAGTAATGCTGCCCGATTTACAAAAAAGACAGTAAGTGAAAAAAAAAAAAAAAAGACCGGAATTTACTTCATTAACATACATTTTCTCATGGTAAAAAGACCGTATTCGTTTTCTTTCTTACCTAAAAGATGTTAACAAACTAAATAATAATTTTAGTACGTATCAAAAAATCTGTATGTGCTTAATTATGATAAATTATGATAATTAAATAAAAAAAGTCATTAAAACCTCAGGAAAGCTTTTTTTTAGTCTATTGATGATATTAAAAGTTTCATGTACTAAGGTTGGCTAAATACGTTTTTTGTTTTTTAAGAATATCTCAGAATGGAAATTTTGGAGTTACTGTCTATTCTATAGGTAGGGCAGAATATTACCGTTAGGTACGGTGCAATTTTTATCGGAAAAATTATTATTCCCGAAAAACCGAGTCCATATACAACCGATATTTGATGGTTATAAGTAATATTTTAAATAATTTTTTTTGAATGGAAGCAAATTATAAAAAAACGAAACATCAAATTTATTCAAAACCAATTTGAAAAAAAAAAATCAAATAAATTTGAATGTTAATTGATATAAAGTTTATTATTAGAGCATCGTCATTCCCACTAAAAACATTTGTTTAGTTTATTTTATGTTACGTATATTTTATATAACAGTTAGAAAATTTTAATTTGAGTAGTTTTAATTTAAATTCATCTAATAAATATATAAAACTTAACGTATTTTTACTTTAAGTTTTTAACACTAAACTTCACTACAGTTAGAAATTTACAAAAAATCAATATCAGCTAAGTAGGGGGTCTACCCAAAAATCGAAAAACATGGCAAGGGGTCTATGACACATTTACTTACACAAAAACGTTTGGGAGTCTCTGATATTTATATAAGTAAATTATAATTAAAATATAATTAAAAAAAAAAAATCTGATATGATCAATTTATATAAATCGATAGTTGATAAACGATTAAACCGATAGTTTGTATTAATAAAATAAAATTAATAAAAGTATTTTTTTTTTTAAAATAGAAAATAATTTTAAGACAGCTTATTTATTTAGATAAAAATATTAAAACTTATAAAATTGTGTAAGTTTTGTTTTTTAATAAAAAATATTCGCAAGTATTTTAATTAATATTGTTTAGAACGAGCCTCTGATTGCAGTATTAAGTGAGCCCTTTCATTCAACGCATATTAGAATAGAGTATCCCAGAAGCATTAGCGAATTTAGAGGACCGATCAAGAGCCAACACAGTGAAGATATAAATGAACACATGAGTAGATTGAGTGTTCGTTCACCGTTTAATGAAAAACATCTCATGCGTCAGAGAAAAATTTCCACAGAAACAACAGCATCACAAATGTCAGCATCAACAATTTTGTAAATTGCTATGACAATACTGTAACTTCTTTTCTAAAAGATATTTTCAAGGTACATCTTGAGGAACGACTTTAAAAAATACCTTGTCTATGAAACAAGTCGATAGATCCATTTTGCGAAAATTAATATATCTTAAAAGGACGCATACGATGCAACGGAAATTTACAAAAAGCATCAAAGCAATTTTATAGACCGTAAAGTATGTAAACGATCTGAACGCACCTGTTGGTTAAACACACGTTTTAGTAACCTAAAAATATTAAAAATATACTTGTTTAATTATTAAATACAGAAAAATCAAGAGATAAAGAACTAATGAGAAAGTAATAAATAAATATAAAACTTCAGATAATAAAATATTTAAACAAAATGATTTTTATATACACAGTTGGTTTTTTTGCAAGAAAATAAAATGTATATTTATTTATAAGTAACCAAATGTTGTTGTGATATTATATATATTACCAAAATATTATTTATAATACATATATTAAAGCAATAATAATGAGCAATTTTTATATACACAGTTGGTTTTTTTGCAAGAAAATAAAATGTATATTTATTTATAAGTAACCAAATGTTGTTGTGATATTATATATATTACCAAAATATTATTTATAATACATATATTAAAGCAATAATAAGGTGATAACATTTAATAGTTAATGATATTACGATATCATTAAAAAGTAAGTAATCAGACAAATATTCAAGTAACTTTTTTTTAGGGTTTTTGAAAAGTATTTTTAAAAGGATTTTTATATCAGAATTTTTGTTTAAAACTGAACAAGTTTTGGAAGATATTTTGTCGTATATTTAAAAAAATATAACAAAATATCGTCTAATACTTATTTGATTTCGGACGAAAAGTCAGAATAAAAAATTTTATGATTTTTAAACATAAAAACAAAACAAAAATTTATCATAAATTCTTAAAAATAATTTAAAATATTTTAAAGTACGCAAACTTAATAAATGCAAACGTTATACTAGTTATACTTTATCTTCTTTCTGTTCGAAACGTTCTGAACGTTCGAAACAGTTAGATTAGCCATATTAAATAAACAAAGACTTATATTTAGAAAAGACATTTGGTCGTATAGAATAAATTAAATTGAAATAATTATATTTTGAAAAATCGGTTTTATCAATAAATTATTTAAGTTGTGTTTAGTTTCTAGACTAAAAACTTGTATAAAGATTACTTAAAGGTAAAATTTCAAAATCCAAAGTTCGACTTATACGGTCAAAAATACATACGGAAGAGGCGGGACTAGAATATTAGAACATACAAGACACAAGAAATACAAGAACGGCAGACTTAGAATACTATATATACTTACTCAAACAGATATATCAAAAGTTAAATCGGATTTAAACAATACTTTTAAGATTATGAAAATATCTTATTTTCTAAAAAGAAATAGATCCTATATGCAATAGTGTTTAAGTATTCTGCTCCAGCAAAGCAAATTGAGCCCTTGTCCAAAGCCCAGTGGGGTAGTTAGACAATAGACAAATTAAAACATTTTCATAATATAAATAATCAATTTAAATTTATTATTTATATTAATAACATAAATTTAAATCTTTAATAAAACTACTTTTAACTTAGGACCAAAAAAGCCATATTTGCTTTATAATATAAAGATTAAACATCATTTGTCGACGAACTATTATAAATTTTTTAGAATCCCAATAACTAATAATATATAAAAAAATTATTTTTAATATACTGATGTCTAAGGGATTATCCATTAAGTACGTAGGCTCGGAGGCCAAGAAAGGTCTGCAAATGGCGTATTTGAAATGAAAGAAAGGAGACACTAAATTAAAAAATATATAATAAATGTTAAGTAAATAAGTTAAAAGCGTAGTTACTTTGAGGGAGGTGTAGAGTACTTAAAAAAGCGTATTGCAAAATGCGGGGGTAGGGGGGGGGGGGGTACGTGGACAAAAAAAAAAGCGTACGTACTTTATGGACGACCCCTAACATTTGTAAGTTTTTCTCTAACATTTATAAGTTTCTCGATTTTTAAAAATTATATGCTTTCCACTTTATGATTTTAAACTCAGAATATGCCTGGTGCGATTGCTCTAATACAAGCTTCACTAGTTCTAAATGGACTCTGACAAATTATGGTTAAGAAATATTAACAGCAAACTCTGTGAATCGAACGGGTAGATTTTCATAGTTTTTCAGAAATCGTTTTTAAAGGTGGGACAATTAATAGCTAATTACTACGGAAAAAAAAAAACTTTTAGTATATCATAAACATATATAGCTTATTAATAGTTTTTCGAGGATTGTTCTTTAGCAACACATTTTGTGCACTTTTTGTGTTTTGTGCTAAAAACTTATTATAAAGTCCAAATACTAATATGCCTTGTGGCTATGACCAGTTCAGTTTCACTTTTAAAATTTTATATCATTTAAAAAATTCAGTTTCATTATAAAAATTTAATTTCAATTTAAAATTTCAGTGTTAATTAAAAAATTTAATCTTAAATTTAAAATAGCTTTAAAATATTTTAATCTTGATTCTCAAAAAAGATAACAGAATTGGTACTCGCACCACAGCTTCGATATATTTATATTATGTATGTATACAAATTAACATTAACAAATACCAATGCGGCATGTACATTGACAAGTCGATACGATACATCATTATAACATTTGCATGTTAAAAAAAAACATGCATAACATAAAATACATAATTTAACTTTACATGTCAAATAACAATATAACATTTATCAAACATAACATTTAAACAATAACATAACAAGACAAGCAACAAATATAAAAACATTACCTTTTCATAAATGTGCTTGTTTCTAGCTCCTTTGACATATAAGCAGCTTTATTTAAAATTGTTTCATCTATTCCAGCCATTCTGGCCACATTTATTCCGTAACTTCTGTTTTCTTTGCCTTTTGTTAATTTATAAAGAAGCACGATGGCATTTACATCAACATCATTGCTCATAAATGTCATATGGTATAGACTTAAAGATTTAGTGTATTTACATTTAAGTTCACAAAGCGTAGGATAGTGTGTAATAAATAACAAAAAACATTGAATTTTTTCAATGAAGTGCTCAAGTGTTGCATATGCTATAGCTGTTCCATCATGTGTGCTTGTTCCTTAGTTTTATAAAAAAATTTAGTTAACAAAAAACCTAGCTAATGCCTCTCACTCACATAACAAATATTTAAATATTACATTTATATATTGGAACAAAATAAGTGATTCCCAAAAATCTGCACTATATTTAACAGAGCATAATAATGTGTATCAACAACATTTTTAAAAATATGTGAAAGCATTTATAATTTGTTTACAGATATTTAAGCCAACCGTAAATGAATCTAGAAAGGTAACCCTAAATAACCATAGCACTGAATGTAGACATTACTTACTACGATAACCAACCATACACTACAGCTTAAAATATTTATTATTAATAAATATTTAAAGATATAAATGTTTTCTTTATATATTCTATCACTCCTTAAAAATAGCAATTACACAAGAGGGGTTTTATTTCACAGTAAAACCACAAATCTTAAATTTTTCAAAACATTAAAAACAAAAAACCCTAAGTAAATTCAACATTTCTCTGTGATATAACATAATATTAATTTCTAAACTCGTGAAAATCAATGCTTTTGTTAAAAAAAATTAATCAAGTTTTAGGAGAGTTAGATAGCGAGATATAGTCAAACTGCAAACATGCTCATTGTCTTTAATTCCCCTCTTTCTTTGTACACATTGGTTTAATAAAAATATATATATACAAATGTTGATTTAATATATATATATATATATATTCACACACACACACTTACGCATATATATGTATATATATATATATATATATATTCACACACACACACACACACACACACACACACACACACACACACACACACACACACACATACACACACACAGAGACATACACACACACACAGACATACACACATATATTTTAAATTCATCTGCCCAGGGCTGAGAAGGCCACTACAGACGGGGAGGCTACTTAACTGTGGTTATAACCCTCTCTCAACTATATAACTCCGAAACACAAACCTTGATGAACAAGGCTGCTGCGTAGAGAAACAAGTTGAGCGCGGTACTACCAGGGACGTGGTGGGGATCAAACTCGGAACCTCTTGCTTATGAAGCAAGCCCTCTACCACTACACCACTACCGCGTAAATATACAAATATACATAAATATATGTGTTTATATATATATATATATATATGTGTATGTGTATATATATATATATATATATATATATATATATATATATATATATATATATATATATATATATATATATATATATATATATATATATGTATATGTGTATATACATATATATATATATATATATATATATATTATATATATATATATATATATATATATATATATATATATATATATATATATATATATATATACACACACACATTTATATATATACACACACACACAAATAGTTTACAATAAGTGCAACTGTAAGTAATTGTGCTTTAAAATTACAAAAACATAAAATGAAGACTTTATAGCCTGTTGGTTCTCCTCTAAAAAAATCATTACCACTAGTGAAATTTGATATAATAAATTTGCATAAACTATGAACTTTACAGGATTGGGAAACTAGGTTTTGCCAAAATAAAAAAACATATCTTAATATATTTATTTTCTGGAAATAAATGATAAATAAATATTAATTGTTATCTAAACTTAGTGGAGATTTTCAGGAATTACTACTTTATTAGAAATCACCTGTTAATTTATTATTATTTTTGTTTTTACCTCTTCCTAACTCATCTAAAATAACAAGTGAGTTACAAGTAGCGTTTTTCATGATGTAACTTGCTTCTTCAAGTTCAACCATAAATGTACTTTTCCCCCCTGCTATTTTATCACTAGCACCCATTCTACAATATATACTATCCAAGATAGGTAAGCAAGCAGACGAAGCTGGAACATAACAACCCATTTGAGCCATAATACAACATATGGCAACTTGTTTAACATAAGAACTTTTTCCGCCCATGTTTGGTCCAAATATGAGCATAACCTTTTCAGTTTCATTTAAACATGTATCATTTGATACATACTGATTGTTTATCAACGTTTCAATAACAGGATGTCGCCCGTCTTTTATCATTATTACATTCTCGTTAAACTTTGGTCTCACATAACTGACACCATTAGCTACAGTTGCCAATGAAATTAGACAATCTAAAGTAGATAATAAAACAACAACATTTCGACAGTTGTTATAAATACCTTTAAACTGTATAAGTAAGTTTTGCCATGCTTCATCTGCAGCAAGTAACAAAGTCTCACGAAGACGAAGAAGTTTGTGAAAATGGCTTTCAATAAAAGGTGTTCGAACCCTTGTGAAATGTTTTGTAGCAGATACCTTAATCCAGTTTTCAGGTAAAATCTTAACATCAACATTTCGAACTTCAATTAAATATTCAATACCAGATACTGTTTTAAATTCAAGCTTTCGACCCAAAACAGGAGTGACGTCTAATAATAAATGTTTAGCAAGTAAACCCTCAATAACTTTTATTTCTTGCAAACATTTGTGTAAATGAGGAAAATTTATAGTATCAGCAAACATACATGCTTTAGCACCATTTCTTATTTCATTCTTGTTAAGTTTTTTCATAAAATCTAAAATGTTGTTACCAAGAAGATCAGGTACTTTGCTACATATATCCAAAATAATGCTTGAGTTAAAGTTTGACATAAACTCTTCTCTATGAGATATAAAAAACGATCGAATATTTTCAAAACTTTCACAAATGTTTAGGAATTGTATGGGCGCACACCTTAGATTATAAATTAATGATAAACCGTTTTCAAGATCAACGCTTTTTTGAAGGACTTTACAAATACCAACAATAGACTTTAATTGCAAACATAGTTTAAGTTCATCAACGGCATCTAAGCGCTTGTTAATTTCATAGACATCTCTTAAAGGCTCTCTTAACCAATTGATTAATAATCTTTTCCCAAATGCAGAGTACGTATGATTAAGAATGGAAAATAAAGAACCACTAACTTGGTTATTCCAGTTATTGCTAAATAATTCTAAATTTTGAATACATGTGTAATCAAGCTTCATAAAAGATGTATTTGAGTGAAAAGATCTGTATCCAGATGAATAATTTAATAGGTTTTCCAAATGAAACTGAGCTAAATAAGAATACATCAAACATGCACATTGTTTCAAAGAAATGTCAATTTTTATTCGTTCAAAAAACTGATTAAACGAGTCAGACATTTCACAACAAAACTTCTCAATCCTTAAAACAGTTTTTTGTGCTTTGTAATTCTTTATTAGGTTTCCTGCTTCCATATTTAGATCAGATATTCCAGTAACAATTTCACACGGTTTGAAAACATGAAAAATGAGATTCAAGCCATTTATGTCTAAATTCATATCATAAACAATATCAGATGTTGATGGGTTCACCAGTAGCACATTGAAACATCCTTCACATTCACTTATGCTACAAATGAAATCTCCAGTATTCTTCTTTGTCACAACATTTCCTTCTAAAAACATTTTTAACACATATGCATAACACACAAGCATAAAGAGACAAACATGCATATGTGTAAATTTATATATATATATATATATATATATATATATATATATATATATATATATATATATATATATATATATATATATATATATATATATATATATATATCCAAAAAAAATTTCTGAACTAAAAATCCTAAAACTCCATGATCTTGTAAAGTTTTACCATTGTCTTTATGTGTTTTACAATTGTCTTTATTTTTTTTTACCAAACTCTTTTTTAATTTTTTTTTGTTAAAACAAATGAAATTCAAAATAATCACACCAGGAATACAGAAAATAGTAAGGTATACTCTTCTTTTTTTAACACAATTAAATATGGTAAGTTTTCCATAAAACAACAATGTATTTCCCAATGGAACTAGTGTATTCCTGCATTAATAAAAAAGTTAAAAAAAAAAACAACATCCCCTCATTACAGATTATTTTCTGCTCAACAGAATTGAATTCAAAAATATATTGTTGGAGTGTATTTCTTTATAATTCCTCTCTGTACTTAAGTTGCTTTTAATATATGATTTCTTTAACAAACAAGTGGTTTGATTTTTGCTTAATTTATTATTTATCTATATTATATTTATTTATTATTGTGTTATTATTGCTACATTTTGTTATTATTATATCTATGATATGTACATACAATTTATATTGTATTATAATTATTCTTCATATTATTGATACTTTATTATTATCATTATTATTTGGTATTATTACTATTATTATTACATATATCATAATTATTTATTGAACAATTTTTTCTTTTTTCTCTCTCTTATTTATATTTTTTATGTTTTTAGGTGTCACTCCATTGACTAGTTTGTAACTATATGAGTGACACCTAACCAAATTCTATTAATTTAATACATAATAAAGAAAAATACATAAGGTATTACCCTATCACAAGGTATGTAAATAGTTCAATCCAAGATAATTTTCAAGTAATATCAAAATTACTCTTATGTAACACTGAAAAAAACGTTACCGTGGTAATGAACACTGAACATCTGAACACTGAAACCCAGTGGTGATGAACATTCAACTTTTTTAAACTTGATTTAAACAAAGATAAGGTGGATGAGTAAACATTATAACCAGGAAGAGAAGTCTATATCTTAATAACTTTTTTGCAGAAGAAAAATCTCTGTGTACCGTTATTATTCAATAGGTGCATCATTGATCATTGAGTATGAATGTATTGGTAAAAAACTGTTTTCATAGCATAGATAAAAACTTTTTTTGTTCGGTAGATTAAATTACCAAATATTTGACCATTTTGAAAATTGACTTGTAATGCAAACATGTTTATATTTTGTTTCAAAATTATCTGCTGTTTTATGTTTAAATTATTTTATCTAAAAAATTGGTTATAAAATAAATTAACTAAGATACCTTTAGTTTACAACAATAATGCTTATTGAATATAGATTTTTTGAAATTTTTATTATAAAGGAAAATAAAAATATAAAAACTATATCTGAAAATATAAAAAATTGTATAAGGTAAAGTGGCACAACATTGACAATCTTAAAAAATTTTTTTTTCTAGCATGCGACAAAAAAATTTAGTATCCAATATTTCTTTGGCATTGCCGCCATTAACTGTTAAAAATTTTAACTTTTTGTGTAATATTATTGATAGATTATTATTTTTTGTTTCTGTAGTGTCACTGTCAATGTGGCACTACAGCTATTTCTATCTGGGGTAACTTTGACAGTAGAATATATCATATACTAGCACCATTTCACTGTTTCTTTTTAAAAAGTATTACTTTAATAAAAAAATGTAAAATAGCACCGAAAACATAATTAAAAATTGTTACTTAAAAGATATCAAATAGATTCAGTTCTGATATTTTCTACTTGAATATGTAATAAAGTAAGTTATTTTTTTTTAGGTTTGCTTCCATTTTATTTTATCGTGCACAAGATTCATCAGATGTCAGGCATTCTGCCAATTTTCTCTTGATTTTTTATCACTTTTCACAGGTTGTGTGTGTCAAAGATGTTTCAAAAGTTGCAAAATGCTTCTAGTTGTTTTCTTGGAGTCAAAACTTCCTGCATTTTATTCTTTCCTGTATTATCTGAGCTTGTGACACACATTAGTATGGAGTTTATATTATTTATGTCAGTGATTGCGGGTGTAATCTTATTTTGATTTCCGTTATTACTTGCGCTAATAATTTTATCTGATGTCAAAAGCTCTGCCGTTGACATCAGATAAAATTAATTGCCGCTGACAAAATCTCAATGGTTATTATTTTACTTTGTTTTAGTGGAAAGTTTCAAAAGCCATTATAGGCATTGCTTCGATTGAATGCCCCATTGTTTGTAACCAATTTCAGTAATTGTAGAAAAGTTGCTTTACCTACATTTTTGTATTGTGTTGTATCATAAAAGGTTTTCAAACAATTCCTCCAAGACGTTTTGACTGTCTTAAAAACACATCTAAAGGTTGTAAAATACTATTTGTATGAGCAGGTAAACAAAGTAGCTCAATTTTGTTTGCAGTTTTTAATATGTGAGAGTTGTTTCAGTCAAATATTAGAAAATCTTTTTGGAACCTTCTAATTGGTTTTTTTTGGCAATAAATATCTTTTCAAACAATTTAATGAATCAGGGAGTTCCATCCAAAAAGGGAGAGCAGTTGTAATGTGCATTGTCCAGACTGCCATTGCATCAGATGCTGTAAAAGTTTATAAACAATGTATGGTGATAAAAATTGACCGGTTGCAGAACAGCATACCTGCACAGTGAAAACTGTTTAGCTGAAGTACAGATCATTTTATTTGGACAAAAATAGCTATATTTGTTCATTCAACAGGTTACTGTTGCATCGGTTAAAACAATTTAAACAATAGTCAACTGGTGACTGGTAAAAACATTTAATGTAACACATGTCAATGTTACCCACCTATCAATGTAACCCGGCGTTACTTTACATAAAATACATAAAACTTTTAACACTTGATTTTGATAAATATATACTATTATAGAAAACATCAGGTCAGAACAGCATGAAAAAATTTCATTATTTGAAGAAAAACAAACTAAAAAAATGGGTCATGTTGACAAACCATTTTAGGCTGGAAAAGAAATCTTGCCTAAAAAGTATTTTCTAACTTGCTGAAAACATAATGAAGATGCAACTCTCAGAATTAGGAAAAATGAGGTCGGCAATAACTAGCCAACCTCAACCTTTTAGAGGTTGGCATCAGGTTGGCAAAAAAAAAATTGATCAAAGTTCCTAACATGAAACATAGAAACGAGGTTGGCAAATTTTTTCTAACCTCAAACACATTTATTTAAAATTATGGTCGGCATTGCAGAATGCCGACCCTAATTTTAAAGGCTGTAGATGCAATATTATTCTACTAATTTCTTAAAAGCTTGTAAATTATTTTAGCATACCTGAAGAAATCAATTTATTAGAAAATAAAATATAGTCAAAACATTTGTTCAAAATTATAATCTTTTTTGTACTAAAAAGTAGAAAATAAACCTTTTAATTTAAATTTAATAGTACAGTAAACAAAAGATTGACAGGTCTGCACAAGGTGTATATAGAAACATACCTGTCAATCTTTAGTTTACTGAACTATTAAATTTAAATTAAAAAATTTATTTTCTACTTTTTAGTACAAAAAAGATTATACTTTGGAGCAAATGTTTTTGCTATATTTTATTTTCTACCTTTTAGTCTTTACAAAGAGTTACATATATTAATATTAAACAAAATTAAAAAAGAAAAAGAAAGTATATTTAAAAGGTTTAAAAAAAGTACAAATCCACAAGCAGTCTTAGCCAATTTTAAACATAAGATGTATTTATAAAAAGGAAAAAAGTTTATTTAAAAAAAAGGAATAACAAACCACAACCAATACTAGCAGATTTTAAAAATGAAATGATTTGTTTATAAAAGATAAAAAAAATTGTATTATCAAAAAAAAAATACAAACTCATAAGCAATATTAGCCAATTTTAAAAATAAAACAATTTATTAATGAATGAAGATTACTTTTAAATAAAAAACCAGCAAGCAATTTAGAAGCTAATTTCTATATGAAAGGTTAGTTTTCACGTACACCATGGACAACAAAGTTACTTGATGAGGAGTTCATATCGAGTGAAAAAGAAAAGATTCTAAAAAAGGAAGCTAAAATTTGCCCAAACATTTCATTAATGACATAACTTGTAAACAACAAGTCAAACTGAAGAAATTTATTTTAGTTTTTTGAAGTTAAAAAAAGCAAAACTATGATGATAACTATTAGGTAAAAAGATGTTTGATACAGTCTTTGTTGCCTGGTTACAATATTTATATAACAATTTTTACAACTGCATACTTTGTAAGCATTCATATACGAGCCAAAAAACTTCTTTTAGTTAATTCGAGCATTTTTTTAAATATATTTATTAGAAATGCAAACTTCATAAAACTTTAAATTTTTTGTTTTTCAAAAATCTATAACTATTATGCAGCCAAATCTGAGATTTTTTCTGAACTTGAACATTAAACCCATAGTACTTTCAATTCAAAAGTGCTATGAGATAATGCTGATTTGTACCACTGTGGCAAACTTCAACTTAAATATTTAATTAAACATTTAAGATATAAATTATCAGATCCAAAGAAATAATAATCATGTGATTTAATAATGATATTTATGATTAAATGTCTTCTTCACAGAAGATTTAAGTGAAAGTTTTATAAAACAATTATAAGAAAAAAAAGAAACCTGATGATCACCTTCAAGATTCAAATATGTTGCTTTAGTATAAATATACATTAGTTTCCTTGAAAAAACTGCACTTTTATTGTTACCAGCAGCCTTTAGGGCTGAGGTTTCTGTTTGTGCAACAACACCAACCTTGTGTCCATTTTCTAACAATCTGAAAAACATAAAAAATAAGTTATTATAAAATAATTTATTTGCTTTTCAAAAAAAACAAACAAAAAAATAAAATAAATAAAGTTTTACAGGAAAAATAAAAAAAAAAGTGATTTTCAACAAAACAGTAAAGTGTTTCCCTCAATTTGCTGAATTGAAGAATCTGCATCAAATCAACAAAATGATACATATATATATATATATATATATATATATATATATATATATATATATATATATATATATATATATATATATATATATATATATATATATAATTTTGCTGCTATCTTTTATACTATAGATAGAGCATTAAACTATTTTTGATGTAGATGGGTGAAAATTAACTTTTAGCCCTGAAAATTATCAAGTCATAATACTTTGATAATTATTGTAAAAATTTTTATAAAATAATTTTTGCATTGATCACATTGATGACATTGTATGTATGTTTAAAAGCACTTTAAAAGCAGATATATAACTGAAAAAATAGAAGCAAGGATTGTCAACAAGTGGTGTACTTGTTATCAATCTTTATAAAAAAAGAAATCACTCAAGATGAAACAATTCTCACTTTAAAGAACGGGTTAAGTTATTGAGTTACAGAATTATAAACTACCTAGAAGTAGATACGCATAAAGTTTTTTTCTAAAAATAAATGTTAAATTAAATACACCAAGTACTAATGAAGTTTTTTTATGTTGTTTTACCTAATACAAAATAATATCACTAAAAGAGAGAAAATGACACATCTTATATGCAGTGAGACTACCATAAAAAATTTGAAATGCAAAAATATTACCTACTCATGTGAATGTGAAGACGATGAACAGGAATACTTGCTGTCATAAAATTATGATCCATACTCTTGCATATATTTAGTTCTTCTGCAGCAATCTGAAATATATTTTATCATCATCATCATAATCACCATAATAATCATCAAGATCATCATCATCAATACAAAGAGCAATTTAAAAAAATACTTCTGCATCCTTTCCAAAAAATCTGTATTTATATCCACACTCTACAAAAAGAAGTAAATCTTCATGTTTTGATTTTATTTCCATGAACTGCAGTTCCAGAGGAGTGTAACTTAAATGTTGAACCAAAGGAGGTTTCTTAAAAGTATCAGAGTGTTGCTCAAAATTAGTTGAGATCTGATCAATTTTAAAACTGAAATCTTCCACAATATCATTAGTCAAATTTTTATTCCCAGTATCAGCACAAAAAGACTGCAATTTTTCAGTACATTTCGAAACAGTTTCCTTGAGTGCTGAATTAATTTTTGATGTGTTTGAATCATTCACACCGATAACAGCCTATAGAAATATAAAAGTAAAAAAAAAATATAAAAAGTAAAAAAATAAAAATTCTTGAAACAAAATTTAATACATATTAATGTAAAAACATTATTTTAAAATAAAGATGCTAAAATCTTTATTTTGACATAATTATGAACAACAAAAACAACAAAAACAAGAATAATTGTAGAATTAAAAACGAGTTTGTTACAACACTTGCAGGGTTCTCTCAATGTAAGTCAGTTAATGTAGCAGCAGTCCTTGCATGTACTCCCTATTTAATTCAAATAACGTATCTACACTCCCTATATGTTTTCACTACATCAGATGATGTATGTACACTCACTACATGTTTTCAATACATCAGATGATGTATGCACACTCCTTACATGTTTTCACTACATCAGATGATATATCTACACTCCCTACATGTTTTCACTACATCAGATGCATGTATACTCTGCACTAATCTGTAAATAAATCTGTTGATGAAACTAAAATAAAAAAACAACTAAATAAAACAAATAAAATTAAACATATTAAAAAAAATATATTTCAGTCAGCAAAATTACGCTTTAGGGTAAATATTTATAACTTCACTATATATATATTTATATATATATATATATAGTGCATGCTAATCAAAGTTATACAACAAATTATAAAATGCCTTTGTTCTGGAACGTGCTACATAGAATTAGGTTGTGTGAAAACCAAGTCCCTTTAAGATTAACATTAACTTTATCAAATGTTTGACCGTGACTTTTATTTCTTGTCTTATGAGTATTTTTAATAAAAGTGTCTTTGTTTAAATGATTTAATTTGATAGCATTAACATTAATAGGAAAAATTAAAAAACAACACAAAAATTAATTAAAAAAAAAAATAATTAAAAAAAAGTTACAAAAAAAAAACTGAAGTGGTTCAAAAGTGGTAAATGTATATGTAAAATATACATAATATATCAGTGGTGCAATGTAACATTATAAAACAAAATTGCAACTATGTTATTTTATGATGTAGATTAAGATTGCATCACTACTGTTTATATCATAATAAATTACTAATGTCTAAATTGAGTTTGTTATAAATATAGTTTGTCGATTACCACTTATTTTTTATTTGCTTTTATTAACACAGATGGTTGGCCTAACTAATGTGCTGTAGGTCTGCAACATATTAATTAGGCCAATCATTCATCGATGTGTTTTAATGAATGAATAAAGTTAAATCCTATGAAAAAAAAGTTATGTAAAATTTTTTTTTTGATTATGATTTTGATCTTTATTTTCAATTAGTTGAACTATTTTTGTTTCATAATCAGTTTTTTTTTTTAAGAATCAAGGTACACTGCTTGATGTTGACATCAACGAGACATGAAACTATGCATTATTACTAGTCAATAGTAATAATGGATATTAAGGACCAGCGAAGTCGACATTTTAACACTCGAATTTAAATGAAAGACAAGTTTAGATCATATGCGTATACCAAATTTCACTGAAAGCAAATTTAAGCTGTATATGTAGCCCGAATTTAACTGAAAGACAAATATAGACTTCTAAACCAAATTTAACTGAAAGCCAAATTTGGATTTTAAAAACACATTTAAATAAAAAAATTTTTTTAATGAACTTTTATAGGTTTTATAAAATTTTATAAAACTTATAAAAAATATTTTGGCTTTGAATGTTCCAAGAAAATTTAACGGTTTTACCATGGAGTACATCAGAAAAGTATTAAACTAGGATAACCTCCTTCCTTACCAAGGTGCGATATATGCCCAGAGCTTGCTTCGAACCCTTGGTCTCCTGCATTTAAAACAAGCACTGTGCTGTGGTTGCTGTATAATCATTTTTTATAAACTAAAGTTATTATTTTTAAGCTTGTAATTAACCATAATTTAAAACATGACATATAACAAGTGAAGCCAAGTAAATTTACAACATTTATTTAAAAAAACATTTACAACATTTATTTAAAAACTTTGATTGTCAATTTTACAAAGGAAAAAGATCCTTAAGAAAATTAAATTAAATATTTACTTGTTTTTTAATAGACTGTGCCTAAATGAGACTTTTTGAATACTGACTCAGTAAGACAAATTTATTTCCAAAATGTTATTATTTTTTTATTTTTTACCTGTGCGTGTGTGTACTTTTCGCTCTCTATAAAAGTTGCTTACAGGGACATTTTTTTGTACAAAAAAATGATGCTTACGGGGACAAAGAGTTAATGGGTACACAAAAATCTGTGAAAATAGTGTGTCTATATATATAAAAACAGTGTGTGTCTATATATATATATATATATATATATATATATATATATATATATATATATATATATATATATATATATATATATATATATATATATATATATATATATTTAATATCAAATATAAATACTAATATTAACATATTACATATAAATGTGATCAAAGTAAAACACTTACAATTTTTTTCTTTTTAAAATCATTTTCTGGTTTGAAAAACTTTGAGATTTGCTGACTGACAACTTTTCTTTTTTTGTTCATCTTTAGTACCAATTTTTCAACCCTTTTTTTTTATTAGGTTCGAAGCAGTTATAACTAATAAGCAAGTCACTAATAAGTATTAAACACTTTTTTCATATAAGTAATAAAGTAAATGTAAATAAAACATAAATCTTATAAAACTACAAGTAAAAATTAAATTAAGGTGAGTTTTCACTCATACATTTTTTCACGGTAACGGGAAAGGTAAGGGAAAAATAATCACATGGGCATGCCTAGTATAAGCTTTAATTTGTCCAAAGAAAAACAACGCATGCTCACATTATTATATTTTTCTTCCACATCCTGTTCCTGTAGAAAAATGGATGAGTGAAAAATCTTAAAGCATTACATAACCTTAGTTACTTGTTATACTAAAATAATTAAATAAATATTAGAAATAATAAAAGCTCTAAAAGAAATAAGGAAATCCAAAACATGATTGGGTCTGATACACCAGTGCAAATCGTGAGATTTTGATAAACTAGAAAATTAAACTTAATAAATTAAGTAAAATATTCAATGATTATGTTTAACAAAATGTCTTAACTTTTAAAGTGCAGTTAATTTATTTATAAGTAAAAACTAACTGCACTTAAAGTTATATATTGTTATATATGTTATATATGTTATATATATTAAAGTTATATATTGATAAATTTAAATTTTAAACTATTAAAAAATATTTTTTAACAAACTCAAGTCGACACTGGTGAAAGAGTTAATTGTGCTTAGATAAAACTTAATACTAAATAATAAAATTTATCAGTAAAAGTTTTATAAGGGTTTACACTTGCCAGGTTGTTAAATCTTTTGTTACTCATTGAACCAGGGTTTTATCTGTTGTACGATGGAAAAAGACACTATATAGGAAGATGCACAATTGACAAAAGAAAGCTAGCAGATAACAATAAAATCAATGTCATCTGCTTAATTCATATTGTTCATCTACTGTTGCTAGCAGATAACAATAAAATCAATGTCATCTGCTCAATTCATATTGTTCATCTGCAATGTCATCTCAATTCATATACCAATCATGCAAAATTAAACTTTTCTTTAAAACAAGTTGATTTCAAGTTATAGTAAATAGTTCTTATAGTAAATTCTTCTACTTAACAACTCTAAAAATAAATATCATGGCCATTATCATTGTGAAAGTTCTTTAATAACATTTCATTCAATAACTTTTTCCTTACTAACTCAGTTTCATTTGATTACTTTTAGTAAAAATAATTTCATTGTCAGATAAGCTGCAAAACTAGGTTAGTGGAATGTATTTTTGATAAGTATAATGATGAAATACAAAATCTTAAAATATATAGCATAGAAATAAAGTTGATGAAATAGATGAAAATGAAATATGTTGCTTGAGACCAACTTTTTAAAGCAAATTTTGGTAGTCTTAATAACTAAACCTTTTTGCAAAGAAAAAATTCTTTTAAAAATTGTTTTTACTTCAAAATCAACATACACACCAAGACTTAGAAGACATTATTGCTACATTACTGTTTTAAGATGTAATTTTTTGGATTGTTAATATACAAGAAGCTATTAACAATTTGAAATAATAACTGCTACTAACAATATGAAATAATTACTGCTAATAACAAATTGAAATTCAAAATAAAAAAAAGGAAAAAAAAATAATAACTTTTTCATTTTAAACTATAACTACAAATTTTTATCAACAAAAAAAAAAAAAAGAGTTCTATAAACTTGTTGTATAACCCACTTGAGTTACAAAAACAAAATATGCAAACATAACAATATATTAGATTTGTACAAATTACTTCAGATTCGTAAATTAACAAATAAATGCAAAAATCCTGATTAGAACTTTATTACAAATCTGTAAAAAAATAAAACAATATATTTTGTATCGCTGTTACTAATTTCATGTTATTATTCTATATCTGTACATATATAAAAAAATGTGTGTGTGTGTATATATATATATATATATATATATATATATATATATATATATATATATATATATCAATGTAAAAAAGTTCAATAAAAAGAGGATTTTTTTTTTAAATACTATTTACTTCAAAATAAAAATTTGATTAATTGATAAAATTAACAAAAGAAATCGAGATTAAAAAAAAAAAAAAAAATTAAAATTCACATTTATATTTCCAGTATTAAATATACTGTCACTTTACCATCATTATTTGGGAATCACTTTATATGGATTAAAAATTCCCTAAATAGCAAAAAACAAAACAAATCAATAAGAACTAAAAAAAAATCAATTCCTAAATTTTAAACTAAGAATCAATAAAAAACTAATAAATCATAGTTAAACATTTGCTGTTGTATTTTAATAACTTGTTGAAAATAAAAGTTCAGTAAGTTTGGTCATGTAAACATTTTTATTAATATTGGTTAAGAAAGTTTGAATTTGAAATTTGTAAATGTAATTTGCAAATGTGTAATATTAACTCAAAGAATATTATGAAAAGACATACTTTTGGATCCATTAAGTTTTTTAAATTACGCATCAATGTTATTGCATCATTTGATCGTGAATAATGCATATGCTTTGACTTTTTAAACCCAATTCCGTGTTCTGCACTGATACTTCCTTTGTGTGAAGCTGGAAAAATCAAAAGACTTCAATAAATATTAGAATAAAAAATAAAAACTGTTATAACTATTGTGATTTATTGTTATAATTATAATGAATAAAAACAAAAACAATTTTTTAACCAACCGGGTAAAATACATAATACATTATAGAAAACATTTAGTTGAATTGAAAAAGCTAACCTGTGTATTCAAAAATGATAGGTTCAATTTGTGACAATAACTCTTTGTCATAAGTAGGCGCCACAACATTTAAATGGAGATTTCCTAAACATAAATAAACATATATATATTTATATATATATATATATATATATATATATATATATATATATATATATATATATATATATATATATATATATATATATATATATATATATATATATACACACACACATAATGATAAGACACCCAAAAAATGTTTATAAAACTCTAATATAAATTTATATTTAAAAACTAATTTTTATAGTAAATGAGGGCAAAAGGATTAACTCGCATTTTATAAAAAAAAAAAAAACTGTTTTTTTAGTGCGACAAAATTGTAAGACATTTTGGAAAAAATTCATATAAATTATCATTTATATAAAAAGATGTCTCAATTTTAAACAATCAATAAAGGGTACTATTACCATTTTTTAAATCACTTCAATCATTTTAGAAGGTAAAGAATTATACAACTTTTTTATGTACGAAATGTCAATTGTATCCCACGCAAATGCAATGGATGATTTCAAGTCAGCTAGTGAACTATATCGTTTACCACCTTCAAACACTATATGTAACACCTGTGCCCCACCATTCTCAATAATGCTCAGGTCTGGAGATCTAGCTGGCCACTTCAATATTTCAATTTTACTGCTGTTGAAATACTCCATTACTACCTTAGCTGTAATAAACGCTAGCATTATCTTACAGATGCTTGACGTCTTAAAAATTCTTGAACAATTAAAAAAAGATAATCCTTAGCCTTCATTTTACTGTCGATAAAATAAATTTTTGATTTACCATGATACCCAATCCCAAACCAAATCATTATACCACCACCACCCATTTGATGTTGTTGATGTGTTACTGGTTCTTTACACAAATCGTGTAAAGAACCTATCTAACTAATTACACTATCTAGCCCATCATGACAAAATCGTTTCTTGTCAGAAAATACTACTTGTTTCCATTCTTCATTCCATGTTATGTGGTCCTTTGCAAAAGTTATTAGATTGTTTATGTGATTTGTTGTCAAGGTGGTTTGGGCTGAGGTTTTTGCGCGAAAGGTGAAAAGCATTATGAATAATTCGCTGAACTGTATGTAAAACAGCAATCACACCTGCTTCTGCAGCAATTTGGCGTGCAGTTAAAAAAAAATTTGAAGCTTGTCTGAACAATCTTCGCCTATCACGGTCATTTAATGTTAATGGACGTCTGGGACTTTATTTTATTCCATACATGTGAGGACTACACTTAGTTTTTAATCACAGTTCCGCTGTGACCAATAGCTCTAACCATGTAACTAACGGAGTGACCCATTTTCGAAAAGTTAGAGAGCACTTTTTTCTCATCTGGACTCCATGATGCATCACAACCCATTATTAATTAATTTGTTATTTTATACTTATAAAAAAAAATACTAAACTAAATTTTTCAGTTCACAAATGTTTACAGTTAAATAATCGTCTGTGGTGTTTACATCAAATAAATATTCTTAATTGCCCACAACTGCGGTTTGCAAATAAAACATTTTTCGTAAAATTTTGTTGCACTGAAAAAACATTTTTTTAAAATAAAATGTGAGTTAGGTTTAAAATAAATTTGTTAAAATGTTTAGTGTTGTAAACCCTTTGCTTACATTTACAATAAAAATTAGTTTTTAAATATAAATGTATATTAGATTTTTATAAATATTTTTGGGGTGTCTTATCAATATGTCACGAAGTGTACATAGATATAGATACATACGAATAAAATAAAAAATCATGTATGCATACTATTAGTATCATTACTATTTTTTTACTGTCTTAACCTACACCAAAACTGTAGGGGGCACTACAGTTGAGGAGGCTACTTGTTTATTTAAACTATTTTTACAACTGTTTCTCAACCCTTTTAATTCAAATTGCCTCAAGGAATAAGACTGCTGCACAAAGATATACAAGTTGAGCATCGTACACAAAGATATGCATCGTACTACTAGGGATGTGCTGGGCAATTTAATTTAGAACTTGTTTAAAAACCAGTACATATAATAATGTTATATAACATTATTTAGGCTTATTTCCAACAGCACTAGCAAAATCAGATATAATAACAAACAAGTTTATCACCAAGAAATAATCAAGAAGATGAACTTAGAAGTTTTAATGAAGCTGAAAATTTTGAATTCTGTAATATTGTAATGAAGGTTAAAATTGAAAAATTACTAGTTTTTAAGTAAAAAATGCGATGGATACATTGTTTTATAATCACAAGATTTTATTCAAAGAACTGGAGTACCATAGTGAGAAACTTTTTGATTGATCTAAAATTTTCTTGAGTTGTATTAAAGTATGCAGCATTTTGTATAGCTTTACTGTGTTTTATTTCATTACTTTTGCAGAATACTGTGTTTTTATTTACTTTTTTACCGTGTTTTATTTACTTTTTTACCGTGTTTTATTTACTTTTTTACTGTGTTTTATTTACTTTTTTACCGTGTTTTATTTACTTTAGCAGAATAAGAGTAAAAGTCAAATTTTCTGTTTTATCAGTTAGTTTTTTTACACAACATTGAAATGACTTTAATTTTCATTAACTTATGATTGAAATAGTTTATGAAATATTTATTAAAACAACTGTGACATTTGCTAATCAAAAAATCTATGATCATGCTTAGGATAACTTGGGGAAGCTTGCAAGCTCCCTGCTGTAATGGTATAATGCAGAACTAGTATTTTTTGAAAACAAAAAGTTGTTTACAAAAACTCTTGAGAAGCTAAGATCCTATAACTAAAATTACTTATCAAATTATCTTGTCTAAATAAATCCAAACCAAAATCCAAAAAGCAAGACAAAACAAAAATCTAGTGATGGATGTTTTTTTTGTAAAGAAACTCTGGGTTTGTTTTTTGAAAACAAACCCATAAATCAGAAGCAAGTTAAAGATTACTTTCCCACAAACTTTTGTTAATGTTAGTCAATTTAACTACAAACTTTTATTGATGCATGAAAAATTGTAAATGTAAGAAGAATGATGATGTAAGATGAAAGAAAGATGGTGTAAGATTTAGATTGCAAGCTGTCATTTGAAGTGCTAAAGATTGTCTGCAACAATTATTGAAAAAAGTATTAACATTAGTACAAAAACCGATTAAAATATAACAAAAACTTTTATTATGACAACAATAGATGCAATGTCTTTCACAAACTAAAAAGTTTAATAGACTTTACTTAAAACCAGTCGACCAGTACTTAAACCACAAGATCATCTCTAATCCTTTAGAGTAAACCCTTGGTAAATTAAGTATTGGTGTATTGTTTTATTGTTGTATTGGTGGGACATATTTTATTTAATTTTTTAATTTATTTACAATTATTAATGTTTGCATAGTCATTAGCAATACAAACATACAAATATTTATGTTTGTTGCTGAGAAAATTTATATTTATCATGCTAAACCACTACTGAGATTTGATGCTTTTCTAAATGCTCATAGGATAATAATCATTCTTTTCATGGATGTATTCAAAAATTGAAGAAAAGAGTAAGATATACTAGATGACAAAGGGTGTGTTTATGTTGCTGAACAAATTGGTCACAAAACCAAATTCACTGAGGACGTTTATTTATTTTGAAATGATTATTAGTTACTTGAAGCATATTAAAAACCTTTAGGAGATTTAAAGCTTTCTGGTAAAAAAATCCAGAACTTATTTCTGTTATATTTATCTTAACTTAACATTAGGCTTTTTCAATTTTTTTAAAAACATTGTTGTGTATGGGCAATGACTGAAAAAATTGTAAAAAACAAACATTTTGCAAAAAGATATATTTAAATTTGTATTTACAAAAAAATAACCCCTCTAAAATACTATATTTTACTGTTATGATTTGTTGAAAACTAGTATCTAAATATTTTAATTTAATAAACCAAATACATTTTTATTGTGCTCTTCAACAAATAAACATTTTTAAAAATAGACATTTTGCTAAATCAAAATAAGCGATGGCACTTCTGACACAATTCAAGATGACTAATTCAAGCCAATATATTTAACTAACCAGTGTTGTTCATTAATTAAAGAAAATAACCTTTAGAAATCATTTTTATACCTTATGTTTGGTTAAAATACAAAATTTAGGAATCCTGCAGTAATGATAAATGGTTGAGAGATAACATCAGATAATATGCTAATTTAAACACAAAAAATTTTTTAATTGCTTTACACATTATTTTTGCATTTTTTGATTCAGTAATGATTAAAACCCAGCATTAAAATTTTTACTTTTTATTCAATGAAAATAAGACTCGAGTAAAAAAGAAAAAAAAAAAAAAAAAAAGAGGCTTGGTAATTAAAAAAAATTTATTTATTATAATAATATATTTATTTATTTATTTTCTCCTTCTTGTGCGGCTGCTACATCTAATCGTAATCATTTTTTTCATCTTTTTCAAAAGAACAACTCTCTTGAGAACAAACGGCTATTTATTATTGCAAGAAATCGATGTAAAAAGGTGCTTTCTGATGCTAAACTCCATTATTCTCAGTTCACTAAATCTCGCATCTTATCACAGAAGTTAGGCTCTAAAGACGTTTGGAAAATCTTCAACAGCATTGTTAACAAGGGTAGATCTAACATTCCATCTCTCATTCATGGGACTGATCTTATTACCTCTCCCAAGGATAAGGCAGAACTATTTGCAAAGAACTTTTCTTCTAATTCCACTCTTGAATCTTATGGACATTCTCTTCCTTCCATTCCAGTCAAACAGGTTAACCCATTGTTAGACATTCAAATCACTCCAGCTTATGTTGCTAAAGTCATATCTCAATTAAACTCATCTACTGCTTGTGGTCCAGACAACATTCCTGTCACAGTCTTTCAGAATTGTTCTCTTCAATTCTCACTAAACTATTTAACAAGTGTTTGACTGAGTCTTGTTTTCCTGCTTGTTGGAAAATGGCATCTGTAGTTCCAATATTCAAAAACTCTGGAGAAAATTCTGACCCCTCCAATTATCGTCCGATCAGTCTTCTTTCTGTTATTAGCAAGGTCTTTGAGTCTTTGATCAACAAATTCCTCACATCTCATCTTGAGTCAAATAAACTACTGTCAAACAATCAATAT